AAAAAAAAAAAAAAAGGTTAAACATGGAGTTTCCATCTGACCCAGCAATTCCATTCCTGGGTGTCCACCCCAGAGAAATGAAAAATGTGTCCACACAGCAACTTGTACACAGACATTCACAGCAACATGATTCACAACAGCCCGAAGGTGGAAACAACCCAAATGTCCATCAATGGATGATGGATAAACACAGTGTGGTCCATCCACACACTGGAACATTACGCAGCCATGAAAAGGAGTTAAACCCCGACACAGCCACACCGTGGATGGACCTTGAACACACGATGCTCAGGGAGAGAACCAGACACAGAAGGACACACAGTGTGTGATTCCATTGATGTGAAATGTCCAGAACAGGCACGTCCACAGACAGAAAGTGGGTTCATGGGTGTCAGGGGCTGGGGAGGGGATGGGGAGTGACTGCTGATGGGATGGGGTTTCTTTTTGGGATTATGGAAATGTTTTGGAACTATCTAGTGGTGATGGTTGCACAACTCTGTGAATGTACTAAAGAGCATTAAGTTGTACACTTTGAATGAGAGAACTGTACGGTATGTGAATTATATCTCAAGACAGCCGTTACCGAGAGAGAGAAAGTCTATTTACTGCCCCCCAGGGAGCTGCCCAGTGTCCGAATTCCTTTGCTGTCTAGGAACTCGCTTAGGTTAACTTGCTGTAACTCAAGAGGTGACTGCAAAAGGCCAGACAGTAAATATTTCAAGCTTTACGGGCCATGTGGCCTCTGTCACAATTCCTGCATGTTTTTACAACCCTTAAAAACAGTCAAAGCCCATTCCAGGTCCACGAGCGGGCCGCACCACGTGGCTAGGGTGGGATTCGGCCCACAGGCGGTGGTCGCTGAGCCGGCACCAAGAGGTTACGGGAACGCACACGTCAGTGGACGGGCCAATCCCCAGGGAGCAAGCGCGTGCCCCGGACGGAACGCCAGCAGGGCACCGCCAGCGTCAAGAAGGGACTACGCGACATCTCAGGGAAACGGGGGACAGCATGTAGAGGAAGGAACAGTGGAGACGGGCCTCGGGGACAGGAGGGGTCCCTGAAGTTGGTGGCGGCAGAGGGAAGACAGGCCAGGCAGAACCAGAGACAGACGAGTGAGGGGCGCCTGTGCCACGCCAGCGGGGCTCCCAGAAAAGCCAAGCGACCTGACTGGGACCTGAGACATGCGTCTCAGCAAGCGGACCTTCCCTGGGAGCCCAGGACCACCCGCAGCTGGCAGGCACCTAAGCCACGCCCACACCAGCACCACACGAGGAGCACCCAGGGCGGGCCACCACGGGTGTGCTCTGCACACACTCGGGGGGTCAGGAGGTGGGTGAAGCTCGAGGTGGGCAGGTGGGAGGTGCAAAATCATGACTGACCATGGTAGATGAAATAATGGCCCCTCCAAAGACGTCCACGTCCAAATCCTGGGACCTGTGGATGCGTCACCTCACACGGCACAGGGGACTTTGCAGATGGATTAAGTCAAGGCCCCTGAGACGGGGGATGACCCTGGATTCCCAGTGTCACCACAGGGTCCCCATCAGAGGGAGGAGGAGGGTCAGAGGCAGAGAGAGACGGGAGACGCTGCGCTGCGGGCTGTGCAGATGGAGGAAGGGGCCCCGAGCCCAGGACGCAGCCTCTAGAAGCTGGAAAAGGCAGGAGATGGTTCTCCCTGGAGCCTCCGGAGGACCAGCCCTGAGGATCCATTTTAGACTCCTGAGCCCCAGACCTTTCAGATAAGCAATGAGTGCTCTTCTAAGCCACTAAACTGTCGTAGTTTGTTACGGCAGCAACAGGAAACTCCAACACTAACCTAAAAGCCAGGGACACAGGTGAGACGAGAAAGGCTAAGTGTTCCCGCTCAGGCCTTGCCCCCCACTCCCCAATCTGCCACAACAGCCCCCAGGTCCACTATGCTCCTGCCCCTCCAAGTCTGGGCTAACACTCCCCCCACGTGAAATGCCTCCCCCCGCCCCTCTGCCTACATCAGCCAAGCGAATTCTTCCAGGCCCGCCCCCCACCCCACGAAGACTCCCTGACGGCAACGACATCACAGGCCGAGTGTCCGCCACGCCGTGCTGGGCACTGGACGTGTGGCCTGAATTTCCAACACAAGGACTGCTCTCCTCCAGCTTTATTCCAAGCTGAACTCACACATAAAGATGAGTAAGACCGAGATCATGGGAACAGGTCAAAAGATGCTGTTGTGAGCTGAATTGGGTCCCCCCAAAATCTGTATGTTGAAGCCCTAACCCCCAGGACCTCAGAATGTGACTGCGTTTGGAGATAGGTCTTTAAAGAGGTGATTAAGTTAAAAGACGTCATTAGGGTGGGTCCTAACCAATAGGACTGCGTCCTTATAAGAGGAGGAGAGGAGGACACAGACACGCACAGAGGGGGACCACGTGAGGACACCGGGAGACGGCCGTCTACACGCCAAGGAGAGAGGCCTCAGAGGGAACCTGCCCTGCCGACACCCAGATTTTGGATTTCCAGCCTGCAGCACCGAGAAAGAATACACGTCTGCTGTTTAAGCCCCTCGTCCGGGGCACTGAGCTCTGACAGTGGGAGCTCACTAATACAGACGTGCCGCCACTCCACGACGTGGAAGCCCACAGACTCAGCCACCACGGATTAATTTATTTCCTGAGAGTGTCGATTCGAATTTGAATTGAGAACACACACACAAAGAAACTCGCTCCCAGTTCACTGAGCCCTGTGACCCCTGGGACGAAACAAGGTGGCCCTGCTTTACTCGAGGTCTGTCCCCACGGTGATTCCGGCAGCTAATTCCCCAAAGACAGTTGATAATTAGGCTCGGGAAAGACAGCTCTGCTCGACACTGAACTGCAGCTCGTTCCCACCTCTGAAACCGAGAGCTGATCACAGCGGCCAACCTCAGAGGGGCAAAGCGCACGCCCGAAAGAGGACGATGTTTTGGGCGTGAGCACACACTCTCTTCCCAACACTCAGGTCAGGGGCTCGTCTTCGTCTGGACATCAAATGGGCCCAACCCCGGGATACGAGGGCAGAGCTGGCTGTCGGGCAGACAGGAACCAGGTGCCCACCCCTGATTCCAGCGCACCTGGGCTCTGGAGCCAGGGGGGCTTTGTCTCAAGGTCTGAATCCTCCTTTGCCACTTACAGTCTGTGTGCCCTTGGGCAAGTCCCTTCCCTTCTCTCATCCTCAGTTTATCTAGAAAACTTCAATAAATTTCCTATGTGGCCCACATCAGACGAGTTGCCTGGCTCTTTTTAACGGCTGCATAATATTCCATTAACGGATGTGGTGTTGCTGTAATGGCCCAAAGAGGCTTCCCATCTTTCACTCATATAAAATCCCTATAGCATCTACTCCTGTTCCTAGGTCATTGATCCGTGTAGCACGTATTTCCACTGAATTCATTCCTGGGAGTGGAATCGATGGGTTAAAGGGTAAATGTCACATACATGTGACATTTTGCTGATTTTTGCCAAACTACCCTCAGTAGGAGGTCCTAACACATTTTCAACAATAAAGTATGAGATTTCTTCGGGCGGGGGGGGGGCGGGAGGTGGAGGCTGCATTGGCTACCTTTCTAACAGAGGAAATTCCTAAAGGAAGCACTTCAGGATCCCAAAGGAGCCACTCTCTCTGAAAAGGCCTGAGGCGGGGCTGAGTTATTTACATTCCTTTCTGGTGACATCATGGGGCCGGCCAAGGCAGATCAGGAAGGCCGGCCAGCAACAAACTCACCAAATAAGGTTTGAGGCTCTGGAAAAAAAAAAAAAAGAAGGATGGTGCCTGGCTGGTCTGAGGCAGGCGAGTTCCCAGGGGACGCGGCAAGGCCCGGCCAGGCAGGAAATCAGCTGCCCGGCTGGAATGGGAAACCTCCGTTTTTTCCCACAAGAATGCTCACAATCGGCAGGCGTGGGGGCCCAGACAGGAGGCCTTCCCTGGAAACGTGTGTTCAAGAGCTGCAGAGACGTAAATGCCTCCCACACGAGAGGATTAAAGAGACAGAAACTGCTAACCCAACTGCTCTCACACCACTTGCCAGGCATCGCATTCGGTGCCAAAGACACTCAGTTACGTTTCTTCCCAAAGGAAACGCACAGAGGATGTCAGAGCAGGAATTCACGGCCGGGGCTGTCTGATTCCAAAGCCCAAACTCGTTCCACCAGCACACGCCCCTGACTCATTCCATCTTGGAGAACAGAACAAAGGACAGGACGGGAGATACTGTCCAGAAAACCCGGCAGTGCCTCCCCCAGCCCCAGAGCCCCGTCAGAGGGGCCTGCTCACCTGCCCAGCTCCTCCCCCATCTCGTAGTGGTCTTCCACATCCTCCTGCCTGAATGTGGACATGGTGGCCGGTCTGCCTTCCAGCGCCTTCCGCTCCAGAGAAAGCCCAGTCACTGCAGCCTGGGGACGGGACCTCGGGGAGTCCCCTCGCTGTGACCCTGGAGGAGACAGAGACACAGGAAAGAAGGAATGAGATGCCACTACTCCTAGGTAAACGGAGCCACCTGCTCGCCAAAGATAGGTCTCACATCACTCCACGCTGAAGGCCCACTGTCCTCAGGGGGCACGTGCGTTTAGCGAGCCGGCCACTTTCCCGTGGCATCTCATTTAGACACCGTGCCCCCCAAAAGGTCGGTGTGAGCCCCACTGTGCCACCTTCGCCCCCATAACTCCCGCCAGGCACTACCTCTGGCTCCCCACACACTGCCCCCGCCTGTCTCTGCCTTCTCCCAACCTGCTCATCCAGAGGCCCCACACATTCCTGCAAGCTCCCCCAGTCTCCACACCCCCAGACCCCGGGACTCCTGCCCAGCTTCCTAAGTAGTTCCAGTCCCGCACGCTCCCATCTCCCTGCCCATCAGCGACCTCCAACCCCCCTCGTCCTGACGCTCTCCCCCCCACGCCCCCCCAACCTCGGCCGGTCTCTTAAGACCCTCCTCAGCGGTGTTCTCCCCGCACCCTGAATTCCCAGGAACTGGACAGTGGCTTCCAAGCTCCTGCAAGCCCCTCCCCACTCCTGCCTCCCCCTGACCGCCCCCTCCTCGAAGGCACCCCTCCAGGTATCAGGGCCCCACCCCAGTCTCCCCCACCCCCAAACAAAGGGCCCCCCCGCAAAGGGCCACATCTGAGCCTCCTCCACGGTCTCTCGCCCCCAACCCTCGCACGAGCTCCAGGGCAGACCCCGATGACCCCTTCAGCGACCCCTCCAAGGACTCCCCAATCCCTAATGTCCCTGCTGCAGCGTCCCCGAGGCCGCCACGCCCCCCGCAGACCCCGGCCCAGCCCCTTCTCCGGCCCGGTCATCCCAGGACTCCGCAGACGTCGCCCCACGTCCCCCAGGGTCCCCTTCACCCGCCGGCCTAGGGCCGAGCCCGCTCCGCACCCTCCGCTCACCGGTCCCTCCGCCGCGCTGGCCGCCGCCGCCTCCTTGGGCCCCTGCGACGTGCTGACCTGCGATGACGTCACCGCGTCCGCTAGTGTCCGCCCCCGGAGGCGGATCTCACCGCCCATTGGTCAGCGCGCCCGCCGCTCGTGACGCCCCGCCCACCGCAGCCTTCCCGGCCCAGGCCCGAAGGCCTCCGGCCCTCCGCACCTGGATGCCGCCTCGCCATTGGCCAACAGGCTCGCCTCCCCGCAGCTGATTGGCTGTAACGGACGCCCGTCAAGCTTTCGTAAGTCTGCAGACCGACTTCCGGCCCCTGGATCGCCCCGCCCTCTCTCCTCTGACCGGGGTCCTGAAGCTGGGAGGCGCGAGGCTGAAGTCCTGCCCCCTGATCTTCCTGCGTTTCTGGGCGCAGAGTACGCGAATCCAAAGCCCAGCTCCGGCATGGCAGCTCCGGGGATGGACCCCAGGGCTGCTTTAGTCCCTGAGTGGCGGTTTCCTCCCCTGTAAAACGTTACCCATATTCCAAATACATAAATAAAAATGCAAGTGAGGAGACCAGTCAGGTGTTGCCATGCATGCTTGAGGCTCCTTCTGCGACTCCTGTGCGTCTCAAGATACATGATAATAACAGCATTTCTTGAGCCTTAGCATGTACCAATCAACAACCTTAGGAGGAAAAATATATTAATATTTCCCCCGTTCTACAGAGGGGGAAATTGAGACCCAGAGAGGTTAGGTAGCCCACTCAAAGTCACACAGCGGGTAAATAGCAGGACTGAGATTCATTCCCAGATGGGCCCGAACCCCAAGCCACTTCAGAGGCCATTGGACACAAGACCCTATATCTTTCAGCCTTTGCCGACCAACCTAACATCAGCGCAGGTCTCCCCCTTGCTCACTGCACTCCAAACACATTTGTGTTCCTTCTGACTTCAAACATCTCATTCCTACCCCAGGTCTTGGCACGAGCTGTTCCTTCTGGCTGGAGATCGCCTTCCTCCCCTCTTACTTAACTCCTACACACACTCCAGTTCACAGCGAAGGCAGTGCCTTCTCCCACACCCGGTTTCCCCTGTTACTGCATCGTACACTAACATGGTATATTTGTCACAACTAATGAACCGACAGCGACACGTTACTCTTAACCAAGTCCACGCTTTACTCGGATTCCTTGTTTTTCCTAACGCCCTTCTTCCGTTTCAGGATCCCACATGACATTTAGTCCTTAAGCTCCTTGGGACCGTGACGGTTTCTCAGACTTTCCTGTTTTTGATGACCTTGACAGTTTTGAGGACTGGACAGGCATTTTGTAGAATGTCCCTCAACTGGGGTGTCTGATGGTTTTCTCATGGTTGGACTGGGGTGATGGGTTTTAAGGAGGAGGACCCCAGAGGTAAAGTGCCCTTTTCACCCCATCATATCGGGGTCTATTCCATCCATGTGACTTGTCACTGTTTATGTTGACCTTGGTCCCCTGGCTCCTTGTCAGGTTTCTCCACTATAAAGTCACTCTTTTTTCCTCCCTTTTCCATACGGTATTCATTGGAAGCAAGTTACGTATGCACAGCCCACACGTAGTGAGTGAGAGGTTGGAACACCATTTTTCCTTGAAAAAAACAACTGACAAACTATAGTAATTCAGACTTGGGTATTTGGCAGACATTTTCTCAAAAATGAACAAATTGAGCCTGTCACTTCAAGGGAAACGGTTGACAGTATTTGTTGCCGACGGTAACATTTGAGCTTTCAAGCAAAATATTAAATTTTTTGACACCTGACAGTTTCCCGATACCTCGACACTTGCCTAATGAAATTGATAGTAACAAATGCGATTTTTCGGTATGGTTTAATGAAATGTGCCAACATCTGGAAGAACTGCAAACTTGGTTTACTACTTTTTTTTTGTTTAATATTTATTTATTCATCTGTTTATTTATTTATTTATTTATTTAGTGTGTGTGAGGAAGATCAGCCCTGAGTTAACATCCATGCCAATCATCCTGTTTTTGCTGAGGAAGACTGGCCCTGGGCTAACATCTGTGCCCATCTTCCTCCACTTTATATGGGACGCCCCACAGCATGGCCCGACAAGCGGTGCATCAGTGCGTGTGGGGGATCCGAACCCGGGCCGTCAGCAGCGGAGCGCACGCACTTAACTGCTATGCCACAGGGCCGGTCCTGGTTTACTACTAATATTGCTACATAACCAGTGCATGATGTTACAAAATCATGTGGGAAGCAAAGACTCATTCAAAGTGCAAGACAGACCAATGGATTTTAATGTAACAATTACGAAAAGTTCATTAGTATGGTTTCAGATACCACATTGTAATTACTCCTTAAGAAACCAGCACTTGTTGAGTTTTGGTGTTGTATAAAAGAACATGCCCAATTAGCTGAAAAAAAGTACTAAAATGCTTCTCTCTTTTCCAAGTATGGGAATGAGTGAGGCTTGATTCTCTCCAAATAGTTCAACCAAAACAACATAACAGATTTCATACAGAAGCAGATATAAGAATCCAGTTGTCTAGAAGGACGTGCAACTATGACATACAACTATCAACTGGGGCTGTGGGGGGAAAAAAAAAGGAGGATTGGCAATAGATGTTAGCTCAGGGCCGGTCTTCCTCAGCAAAAAAAGAGGAGGATTAGCATGGATGTTAGCTCAGGGCTGATCTCCCTCACAAAAAAAAAAAGAATCCAGTTGTCTTCTATGAAGCCAGAGATTTCGAAGATTTGCAAAAATGTAGAACAATGCTACTCTTCTATTATTTCGTTTTGGGAAATAGTTTTTCTTCCATAAAAATGTTATTTGCTATTTATGTTAAATGAGATGGGTTTGTTATTGTTATTTCAAAATAAATTCGTTCCATTTTTTTAATTTCTCAATTTTAATTTCAAAATATGGTAAATATCGGCAGAGAGAACCCGTTTAAACAAAAGCAATTTGTTTAAACAAAAGCTCACTAACATTTAAGAGTGTCTAGGGGTCCTGACATCAAAAAGTTGGGAACTGCTGGCCTGGAGCAATCACAAAAATAACACCATTTAACTAAAATCGATAAATAAAATGAAACAAATCTAGGTAGGGAGCAATACACACACGCGCGCGCACACACATATTTGTAACATGTCTAAGCTCGGGTGGAATTACTCAGAAGACACAACGTAGTCACCAGATGGCAGCCCCCAGAAATGGAATCACCGTGCGTGCAGCAGCTATAAATGCACGTTGACACAGAGGTGCTGTATTAGCAAGCCAAATACCACAGTGGCCTTGCCATCAGTATTTGGAAGTGGTGAAAAATTCTTGTAGTTCAACAAAATGCAGTTCAATCTTCTCAATTTATATAGTCATATCTCTGGCAAAATTATTTGGTATTAAAAATGTACAGGGGCTGGCCTGGTGGCGTAGGGGGTTAAGTGCCCACACTCCGCTTCAGCGGCCCGGGGTTTGCAGGTTTGGATCCCAGGTGCGCACCGACGGACCGCTTGTCAGGTCATGCTGAGGCGGCGTCCCAGATAAAGTGGAGGAAGATGGGCACAGATGTTAGCCCAGGGCCAGTCTTCCTTGGCAAAAAGAGGAGGATTGGCAGATGTTAGCTCAGGGCCGATCTTCCTCACAAAAAAAGTTAAAATGTACAAAACTAGCTGCAACGCAGTGTCTATCCCGGATTGAATCCTGAAATAGAGAAAAGGGCATGCGTGGACATCCGGATAACACCTGAATAAACTCCGTCACACGGCTAAGAGTAACCTTCCAATGTTTACTCCTTGGTTTTGACAAATGCACAGTGGTTACATAGGATAACATCTCTGTAGGATCTTCAACTTTTCTGTAAATATAACGTTATTCAAAAAGTAAGTGTATTCTTAAAAAGTACAAAAAACACTGTATGTCAAGCAGTGTTTGGTTAGAAGTTGAGATAACTGCAGTTTTCCTCCACCACCTGTGACATTCTTTGGTTTCTTCCAGATCCTCGGCAGGACAGAAAGGGCAATGTGAAGGGAGCCCGTCTCAGCATGCCACATGTCTGTGTTCCAGCAGGAATTTCCTTGAGCACGAACACTTGGGGACAGGGACTGGGAGCTGGGCTCCAGTGTCGGCTTCCTTGCCACCAGGACGTCGGGCAATTGGATTTTCGTTTGTTTACGTGTCAAGTGGGTTCGTGATTACCCAGGGTCATTGGTTGGACTCGAGACGGTGCCCACGATGGGCCAGTAGCTGTCAGCTGACCCTCAGCATCAGGGAGCTGACTGCCCCCAAACTGAGGAAAGGGTAGATTTTCTTAGTTTTCCAAGAACACATGTATGGAACACAGGGATGACAAACTGTCACTTGGATCTGTGTCAGCTTCAGGAATATATCCAAGGCTCCAATACATACGTGTCTTGTGGCTTTTTATGGTGGGCATTTCCTCCCCCCCATATACGGAAAAAAACCTCTTCTGGAACTTTCTATGGGATACCTGTGAAGTTCTACTCCCGTATAATTTCTTTACTATAAACAAGTGATTCAAGTTCCCCTCCGGTTTGGCTGCGGGAAGCCCAGGGCCAGTTACAGCCCTGATTCAGTAACTACAACAAAACATAGGGGACACGAGTGAGGGGTGGCCCTGGCCAGTCTGGGGACAGACCAGCCACACTGCCTGCCAGGAGCCCCACACGAGTACTTCCCTGCCCCCACCTGCCTTCTGGAGGACACTGGGGCACACGTGGAGAGCGATCACCTGTGTCTCACAAATCTCAGGGAAGGTCTGAGTGCGCAAATCCAGACACTTTATTTTTTATAATTTATTTTTTCCCCCAAAGCCCCAGTAATGGTATTCATAGCTGCACATCCTTCTAGTTGCTGTATGTGGGACGCAGCCTCAGCGTGGCCAGAGAAGCGGTGCGTCGGTGCGCACCCGGGATCCGAACCCAGGCCACCAGTAGTGGAGCACGCACACTTAACTGCTAAGCCACGGGGCCAGCCCAATCCAGACACTTCTACAAAGGAACCCGGCTGTTCAAGACCCGTCACTAACGGGACACTGAACGGGTGG